TTTAGGGTTTAGGGTTTAGGGTTGAGGGTTGAGGGTTGAGGGTTGAGGGTTTAGGCTTCAGGATTTAGGGCTTAGGGCTTAGACCTTATAGGGTTTAGGACATATAGGGTTTCGGGTTTGGAGGTTGGGGTTCAGGGTTGAGGGTTTGCCCTTGGGAGATTGCTCATTGGGGTGTTCCCCCCCACTACGAACAGTCCGTAATAGGGATTATAGTACCCTCTATGATAATCCCTACTAAGGACTGTCAATATAATTGGGAACGTCTCAATATTTTACCCTTATTGGGTTTAGGAGGATCATATTTAGGAAGATTTTTCGCCGGGTTTTTAATGGCAATCCCTAAACCCTAAACCCTAAACCCTAAACCCTAAACCCTATATAAACCTAGTTGTTCCAGGCCTTGAGAATTTCAACACGGAGGCCTTCAAGTCCGATTGGAGGCTTCGTACCGCCAGGGTTCCAAGTGACGCTTCTTGGCCATGAAGATGAGCTGTATTTAGGGTTTAGGGTTTAGGGTTTAGGGTTTAGGGTTTAGGGTTTAGGGTTTAGGGTTTAGGGTTTAGGGTTTAGGGGTGTCCCTTTGGCCGCCTGCTGTCATTCCATGTCATACGAATTACTGTGAGAAAGCTTTCCGACTCACTCTCAGAGGACCCTCATGGAGACTCCTGGGACTCGAGCCACTGCCCTTTCAACACCATCGCAGATCCACCCGGAAGTACTCCAATGTATCAAGTGGTGGAGGAGTATGCTGACAGCAATGAAAAGTTCTTCTCGGACTTCTTCCCTGTCCTGGAGAAGATGCTGATGAACGGCTACGACGCCTCCGAGCTCCTGGTCGCACCTATGGTCAGCCATGAATGCCCTTACCAAGACCCCCACGACTGGCGCCGCTACTACTCGTGCTCCTGAAAGACCAGCATAGTGTAGCAGCTGGCAAGAGCTGGCAGTTTTGTGTCACCAGCACGCTTGGTGGTACTAAGAGCCCTGCGCCTTTATCGGCTAGAGGGCAGAACTAGCTGCACAGCAGACAGAAAACTCGCGAGTGGTGGAGACTATCTTGGAGTTCTGCTCGTGCAACTCGTGTAGTCGCAAGCTCGGGTATCCTGGACCCTCCAATCTGCCCTGACATCTCCAAACCGTAGTTTCAAGCTTTCCCATGTGCTTTTCAGAGCCTGTACAAGGCCTTTGACCTAAACCCTGAACCCCAAACCCCAAACCCCAAACCCCACCCTATACCCTAAATCATAAGGAGCATCCCGCAGATCCTTTTCGGCCTTGAAGCCTGCTTGCGACTTTGCTCTAAAATCGCTTACCGCTGCAGCACAGCACATCGCTGTCAGAATGGTCCTTGGCCGTGGAGCCCACAAAGGCTTCCTTCTCGGCCTCTTCATGATACGAGCCTTCTGCGGTGAAGATGCTGTGCATGATGCTTGTGAGGGTTCTACATCCACGCTGCTGCAGCTGGGCCCAGGAGCACTATAATCACCACCAAAGTTTTCAGGGGAAGTCTTCTTATGGGTGAACACCAGGCACACAGTTCTAGGTAGGCCCTTTGGGATATGTTATATTTTCCCTTCTTGGGTTTAAGAGAATCATATGTATTTTAGGAGCATTTTTCAGAGGGTTGAAGGAGGGCCATCCTAGAATTCTTAAGGTTGAAAAAGTCAAGTCGTGGGCATCTGAACATCTCCTGCAGGAAGTGCTGGCGAAGTCGGGCTTCGCGAGGAGCCTTGCAAATCGTGGTGTGTCCCCAGCCCAAATAGCTGCACCGGGAAGAATTGCAAGGGGTGTGCTGGTTGTGCCAGTATTGCCAGATGTGCGAACTGGTGCGGAAACACGGAGGACAGGGTCCTGGGAAAAGCGTCTCTCGCTATAGATGATGCATCCCGAATGCCATGTTAACCTCGAGCATCCTAAACCCTAAACCCTAAGCCCCGCAGGATTGGGCGGACAGGTGCACGAAATGGGCTTGCGACGGCTGCGGACCTTGCACCACAACGACGACGACGCCTCCCTTTGGCTACACCGCTGTGGGGGCGGGCTGGTGCAACTGAGCAGCTGAATGAGTACACTTTACACATCTTTACACTTTTTGGGATACTATAATCCCCTATAGAACTGAAAGTGTACACCTTTTTTTTTTTGGGGGGGCTTATGAACTCAGCAACTAAGGCGACAGGGGCTACATCGGTGGATGGTATGCGCCAGACGCTGTTGACATTGAGACTTGCGCGCAGCATCTTGCCTCAAAGGTGAAGTTTATTCCCTGCTCAAACTGGCGTGTGATGCCTGAGTCTACTGATAGACGGACATGGCTTGCAACTGCTGCACTACCCACGGAAGTACTCTAAAGACGTCCACCCGCACAACCCGGTCCAAAGGCTTCATCTGACATATTACAAAGTGTTTGTGTTTACACAGTATTTCTCTATATATATATATATGTATATATAATATATTGTCTGCATTCATCTTTGGAGTCTCCGGAACATTAATATATATCAGTCCTTAGGATTATATCTCCAAAAAACCAGAACTTCTATAATATTGGCGTTACATTGCATGGCTTTCTTATGATCTTCTTTTTAGCAATGCCTGGCTTGTTTGGAGGATTTGGAAATTATTTTGTACCTATCCTTCAAGGGTCTCCAGGAGTGGTATATCCTAGAGTCAATATTTTTTCTATCTTAATTCTTTACGTTCATATCGTCTTTGATCATATTATACCATATAATGTATTAGGCATTATATGTATATGCGTATATATATATATGTATATACATATAATATCTATATATATATATAATAGACTCATATATTGTGGCGAAGGCTTGTGTAGCTAGGCTTGAGGTAGTTCTTGCTTTGGCAGGGAACTGGCGGGAACCGGACCAATCCTTCTCGGGGGGCTTCAGCGAGCAGCAACATCGACGTCAAAACCAGAAAGATTGGAAGGGAGGGAGTTCTGAATCTGGGGGGGAGGGGGGGAGGGGGGGGCTTTTTCAGGGAGGGAACATCGCATGTGATGAGACTAGTTTTTATCTGTCCGATCGCACGGAGGAGCATGCAAAGGAGGCTTCGGGAGGGAGGGGAGCGGGGAGTAGAAGTGATGGTTGGAAAGGAAATGTTTCATCCAGCAGGGTCCTAGACTACGGCATGGGTTAATCCATATATCTTCAGCTCTGCCCTTCAGGTACATCACATGTTACTCATTGTGTGTTAAATTGCATTCATTTGTACTGACCAAGATACTGTATTATGGATTATATTATATGGCCATAGATGAGCAGCAAGAACCTGAGCAACCATTTAAACCCGCATTGTACTTTTGCAATGGTCACCGGAATGGCCAGGGTGAATTCCTCCGTGCTCATGCTTGCACATGGGTCAAATATATGCACGCACCTCCAGCTAACTTCTTGTTCCAGTTGGTCCACTTGCCACCCCTAAACCCTATAACCCTAAACCCTAAACCCTAAACCCTAAACCCTAAACCCTAAACCCTAAACCCTAAACCCTAAACCCTAAACCGCCACGTGCCCTCAGGAAATGTAATTCGGAGAAGAATTGCAAATTCTTCAGCCTGAAGGTCGGCGCCACGTGTTCTCGCTACTCAAGTGACTATATCCCCCTTGGGAATTGTTTTTTGTTTATATAAAACCCAGGAGGATATTAAGCATAGCATTTTTATTAAGGTTCTAAGAGGGGAGTGTAGGTGAAGCTGGAGCTTGCGCTACGCGCCACGAGCCGGATGCCTACTTCACCTACGGCAAGGTGCCAGGAGAAAGCTATGTGCCTGGCGAACCTGGAGCTGAGTGGTCGCCAGAGCACCAGAAGCCTAGTAGTAGAGTAGGAAACCTTTAACCTGTTTGGGGTAGTATAATCCCCGATAATCCCAAAGGTTAAGCTTTAATTCCCCCAGATTACTGGACAGCTAAGGAAGGCCATCAGAGCCAAGTTGATCCGCGTCTTCCAGGAACCGGATGCCTTGTGTTGGGAAGGGAACATCCAAGTGCCAGGAGAACGATGGTCGGGTCTACCAACCATGGCCAAGTTCCTGCGTTTGGCCTTCCATGACTGCATGAAGTATGCCGACGGCACTGGTGGCTGCGATGGATGCTTGGAGTGGACGGGTGTAGGCGAGCGCTTCGCACGAGACGAGCTTGGAAAGTTTCTGTTGAATGCCAGTGATGATGGGCGCAACAACGGCTTGCAGCCCACGGTGGAGATTTTGGAGAAGATCTACACCGACCCAACTTTTCCACAGAAGGTGCCCATGAATGTCTTAACTTTCATCTTTCCTATTCGGTCCCCGTTTGTTCTGGGCTTGTGAGTGTGTGTGTGTGTGTGTGTGTTGCTTGTTGTGTGGGGCTCTCCTTTCAAAGGGCTGCATGGCTGGGGATTTTGCTCCTGTCTTCGGGCTCTCTCGCTTGCGTCTCACGTGTCTCCTGCTCGATGCCGCTTCCTGTAAACCCTAAACCCTAAACCCTAAACCCTAAACCCTAAACCCTAAACCCTAAACCCTAAACCCTAAACCCTAAACCCTAAACCCTAAACCTGTATCTAGGGTCTAGGGTTTAGGGTTTAAGGGCTGCATGATTTTGCGCGTCTCTTCCCTACTGGTCTCCCTGCATTTGCTGTCGCTCTCGTGCTTGTTAGAGGTGGTGCCACTGTTGGTTAGGGGTTAGGGTTTAGGGTTTAGGGTTTAGGGTTTAGGGTTTAGGGTTTAGGGTTTAGGGTTTAGGATTTAGGGTCTCGGGTTTAGGGTTTAGGTGTGTTTTTTTTTGGTTGGGGGGGGGGGGGGGGTTGTTAGGGCTTCATTGCGGCTTGCGGCTTGCGTGCATTGTGCGACAACAGTGGCCCCTGCCAGTCATGAGTTGCAATCATTGTCCTCGAATTGGCGTTTTTCTTGGTTGGGGTCTACACTGGTGCAACCTTGGTTTCGGGAGCAGTTTTTGTGTTTGCTTCTTTGCTTTGTTTTGTTTTTCTGCTGTGGTTTCCAGGCGCCAAGTCTGCCTCAGTCGCCCAAAGACAGCGGCATTTCGCGAGCTGATCTGTGGGCCTTTGCTGGCATGGTGGCGGTGGAGCATGGCATCCAGCTCCTATATCTTTCTTTGGAATTATTTTTCATATTTTTAATATAAACCCAAGAGTGCTTAAGAATATGATTTCTTATGAAGGTTCTAAGGGGAGTATAGGCTGAATAACCTCGCCTGTCACAAGCTGGATTTGGATGATGACACGGGGATCCTTGTCCGAATGGCCAAGGAGGCATCATGGGTTGCCCTACTGCCATTCTCTCCCCGAGGTTCCCTAAACCCTAAACCCTAAACCCTAAACTCTAAACCCTAAACCCTAAACCCTAAACCCTAAACCCTAAACCCTAAACCTAGGTAGTAGGGGAACCTATGGAAGCAGCTTTCAGTTTTCAAGGTTTTTGTTGGGAGGGGGCTCCTCAACAAGTCATCCGCAGTCAAACCCTAGTTAGTCAAACGAGTACACTTTTGACTTTTTGGAATGCTATACTCCCCTGTATAGACATGAAAGGGGTGCACTTTTTAGGGGGTTTAGGAACGCAACTTAGAAACTGGAGGCCCCCAACCCCAAACCCTAAACCTTAAACCCTAAACCCCGAACCCAAAAAGAGGTAAACCCCCCTAAACCCTGAAACCTAAACTCTAAACCCTAAACCCTGAACCCTAAACCCTAAACCCTAAACCCTAAATCCTGAACTGAGAGCCGAGGATTTTGAAGCAATGTCATCCCAGGGTCGGAGAGCCTGATTGCGAGGTGGGGGGGGTTCCGAAGGGGTTTGTTTAGGGTTTAGGGTTTAGAGTTTGGGTTTTGGGTTGAGGGTTTAGGGGACTTGGACTCCGCCCTTATGCGGGGTTAAAGGGATTCTATATTCTATTTGGGGCATACAAAAGGGGTACCCTAAACCCTAAACCCTAAACCCTAAACCCTAAACCCTAAACCCTAAACCCTAAACCCTAAACCCCTATTTTTGGGAATTCCCAGGTGGCTCCTCCTCGGCCCTTCAACTTTGCTTCCGGCCGCCGGGACTGCCTTCCCGACCCCACGGCGGACCAGCCCTATAAGACCTCCAAGAAGGAGCTCCATCCTGAGCCTTATACGGATTCTTTTGGGGTTTAGGGTTTAGGGTTTAGGGTTTAGGGCTATTTTGGGGGTGCTGTAACTCCTAACAAGAAGGGGCTACATCCTGATCCTTAGGGATCTTTTGGGAACATTCTTGCTTATTTTGGACACTAGAACTCCTAAGAAGCAGCAAACATGTTTACATGTTTTGCTAGGGTTCGAAGATCAGAAACAAAGGATCCCTAGTTGTAGAGTAGGCAGGTTTGGGGTTTGGGGTTTGGGGTGTAGGGTTTAGGGCTGGTAACTTGTAACCTTTTTGGATGCTGCAGAGGGTTTGCCACTTGTTCCCCACACTAGCGGCGTTACCCCAGGAATTCTACACGACATCATCCGAGCCGAAACCTATGCAGTGCTCCAAGCATTAAGAGCTACCACTCATGTTCACATTTTCACGGATAACCGATCTGTAGTACTCAATCTCCGCAAAATTATTCACCAAGTCTTCGGCTTGTTTCTCTGGAGAACAAAACCCAACCTAGACCTGTGGATTCAAGTTTCGCAAGAAACCCTCTCGAGACCTTTCGGCTGTGCCCAAAGAACCAAAGTCAAGTCACACAGGCAACTGCATGATGCCTCAAGCGATTTTCAGGGGAAATCAACTTGCGGATGAAGAAGCAGGGAAGGGTTTTGAGTTTAGGGTTTAGGGTTTAGGGTTCAGGGTTTAGGGTTAAACCCATCCTGGAGGGGAAGTTCTGAGAAGCGACGTATAAGACAAGCGCATGTATGCAGTGCTTGCCTGGCAGAGGTGACACGCTTGGTAAAATCACATAGGAGAAAGACACCCACAGAAGAACCCGAACCGCGAGACTTCCACCCGGAAAACCCACCCACGGAAACCCAACCCAGGCCAATCGCCCCCGCCCTGTAGGTCTGGGAGTCCCAAACTGGGATAAAAACTGGATAAACTTGGTCCTTCATTACTTTTCCCTTTCCAATGGCCTGACCCTGATGCAAGACCTGTGCAATAGTTTCCAAGTTAGTGTCCCGATAAACCTGGGAAACTTCTTCAGGCATAACTTGGCGGGCATTCCACATGTCCAGAAGAAGAGCCCGGCCGTATACTTCCTCCCTGAGAGATCCGATGCAAATATGCTCCGGAAACCTTGACGCAAATGGCTGCAACCTTTGTCTCCTTCACGTCAAGGTACCCCTCAAGCCGATGGCAAAAGAAAACCTTCGGTCCTTTGCCTCCTACGGCTTTGCCAACGTAGTTCCCTCTCTCCGAATCGCGCCGGTCCTCTTGTCAGGCCCCAAGTCAGAACGCTCCTTGAAAGCCTGACCATCCCCAGAGTCCGTATCTTGGTTTAGGGTTTAGGGTTTTAGGGTTCAGGGTTTAGGGTTTAGGGTTTAGGGTCTATCACGTACCCAGACCACTCCCACCGGGTTTCCCACCTGATTTCTGAGATCTACAATTCATGTTAGCCAGTCTCACTCCTGACGCTGGGGACTCGCTTGTGCACACGTCGCACTTTAACCTTTTTGGTGTAATAGAATCCCCTTAGAATCCCAAGGTTAACCTTTAGTTCCTGCGGGTCACTGAACAACTAAGGATCCAGGTGCAAACGCCTCTTTTACCTTGGCCTACTTCAAGCGTGACTTTGGCTTCAATGCTCGCGAGACTGTGGCCATAATGGGTGCTCACACCCTCGGCCGGGTCCACAACACCATCAGCTTGCATCAGTACCAAGGTGTAGGCCCTTTTCGGGATATTCTTTGATGTTTTTTTCACTGCGTGGGTTTAAGACTACTAGTTGCTTAAGAACCCCGAAAAATTAAAGAAGATTCTTCCTCATTAAGGTTCATGTAGGGATTACTATTTCTCATTCTTTTGGGGTTCCTAAGCCCAAGCAACTGGTAGAAGAGGATCATGCCTAGGAATATTTTGCAGAGGGTTTCAGGGCCCAACCTAGGTACACCTGGAAGACGCGCTCGGCCATGCTTTTCAACAACGGCTACTTCCGCAATCTGGCAAGCAAAGAAGATTGGTATTATCCGACCGGAAGTTTCCCAAACGGGACAAATCTCAGGACTACTTGTCGTGGCTTAGGGATACTTGGAATAGTTTTTTTTTATATATTAATTTTTTTTTGGCACTGTACTTCCGAAGAAACAGCAAAAATGGTAATTGTTGCTGGGTTCCAAGCTCAGTATAGGTGGCTTCGGGAATTCCAGTGGTCACAGGCCACCCGCCAGATGGAAGCCACATGCCTTTGCGAATTTGAAAAACGGCGGTCCAGTGCAATGGCTTCAGGAAACTTGGTAGCTGAGAGTGCCCTTTTTGGGTTATGGGTTCCCTTATAAAGGTAGCTAAAAACCAAGAAGGCTACCCTTACTACAATATGGATACCGGGCCTACCAAGGAAAAGAAGGTATGCCCTTGCTTCGACACAGGCTTCACACGCCCGAAGGAAGGCTGCTGCAACGACGAGGACATCTTCTCATGCCAGGCAGGTTGCTGAGTAGCTGAGTGAGTACACTTTACACTTGTTTTGGGACACTAGAACCCCCTGTAGAACCGAACGTTTACACTTTTTGGGGGCTTATGAACTCAGCAACCAAGGTTGTGAGAAGTACAGCATCGTGGTAGGCACCCTGGCCTTTGTTGAAGCAGCTGACGTTCTTCATTTTTTTGGGAAGCAAGCCTGGAAGCCTGCAACGCAGGGTTGAGGGTTTAGGGTTTAGAGTAACCACCCTCAGATCTAGGTTAGGTAGGAGCGGTTCCCAGGCTGAGGGGGGCAGTAGCACTTGGCGAAGGCACAGTATGTCATGCTAATTCTTCCCTTTAAAAGTCGACGCGCTGTTGCCCTGCTGTTGCCCTGCCCCGTTATGGCAACGTTACTCAAAAATGGGGAAGCAGCTTATGCTAAGTGAGGTGGAGTTTAGGGTTTCGGGTTTAGGGTTTAGGGTCTAGGCTGAGCCGACAAAGTCCGATCCCAGGTATGGATGAGACGATGCTCAACTCAGACATGAGCCTGTACATGGACTTCTCCACCAAAGATGGCATCCCAGGAGGTTGTCCAGGTAGGGTTTAGGGTTTAGGGTTTAGGGTTTAGGGTTTAGGGTTTAGGGTTTAGGGTTTCGGGTTTCGGGTTTAGAGCTTATATGGGTTTAGGGTTTATAGGGCTTATAAGGGTTTAGAGTTTAGGGGTTAGGGGTTAGGTTCAGGGTTTAGGGTTAGCCTTTGGGAGATTGCGTATCTTCCTTGGAATGTTCCACCCTTTTACGAACAGCCCGTAATGGGGATTTTTGCACCCCCTGTGAGAATCCCGATTAAGGGCAGTTAGACAAAGCGGGAACGTCCCAAAGTTTTCCCTTATTGGGTTTAGGAGGATCATATTTCGGAATATTTTTCACAGGGTTTGTAAGGGCTAAACCCTAAACCCTAAACCCTAAATCCTAAACCCTTATAAGCTCTAAACCCTAAACCCTTGTAAGCTCTAAACCCTAAACCCTAAACCCTAAACCCTAAACCCTAAACCTTAAACCTACTTGTTCCAGGCCTTGAAAATTTCAACACGGAGGCCTTCAAGTTGGATTGGAGGCTTCGTACCCCCAGGGTTCCAAGTGGCGCTTCTTGGCCATGAGGAGGAGCTGTATTTAGGGTTTAGGGTTTAGGGTTTAGGGTTTAGGGTTTAGGGTTTAGGGTTTAGGGGTGTCCCTTGGGCCGCCTGTTGTCACTCCACATCATACGAACTCTGTGAGAAAGCTTTCCGACTCACTCTCGGAGGATCCTACTGGAGACAGCTGGGAATCGAGCCACTGCCCTTTCAACACCATCGCAGATCCACCCGGAAGTACTCCCATGTATCAAGTGGTGGAGGAGTATGCTGACAGCAATGAAAAGTTCTTCTCGGACTTCTTCCCTGTCCTGGAGAAGATGCTGATGAACGGCTACGACGCCTCCGATCTCGTGGTTGCGCCTATGGCAAGCCATGAATGCCCTTACCAAGACCCCCACGACTGGCACCGCTACTACTCGTGCTCCTGAAAGACCAGCATAGTGTAGCAGCTGGCAAGAGTTGGCAGTTTTGTTCCACCAGCACGCTGTGGTACTAAGAGCCCTGCGCCTCTTATCGGCTAGAGGGCAGAACTAGCTTCACAGCAGACAGAAAAAGAAAACTCGCCCGTGAGCGGTGGAGACTATCTTGGAGCTTTGCTCGTGCAACTCGCTGGACCTTCCAATCTGCCCGTACATTTCTAAGCAGTAGCTGCATGTGCTTTGCAGAGTCTGTACAAGGCCTTCGACTTAACCCCTGAACCCTAAACCCCAAACCCTAAACCCTAAACCCTAAATGTTCTGCGCCAGAGACAGATCACAGCATGCTCTGCCACGCAAGTTTTGGACCACCACAAAGTTAAACAACAACACCTGGGCAGTGGCACTGTCCTTGGGATGTGCAGATGTCTAGACCCCCACCATGCCTGGTTTAGGGTTTAGGGTTCAGGGTTCAGGGCTCTACTTACGTTATCCTAGGGAGACCTTAAGGTGGGTTTATATTTTCCCAAATTTTCGGTATGATGAGAAGATCGTGTTTGAGTAATCTCTTCTCAGAGGTCTACAACGGCACTCCCTCCCACACGGCAGCGCTTTTTGTTTCTCAGAACTTTGCGTTTGGCCTCACGCTTGGCACTCCGAAAGCCATGGTGGGCTTTCACGATGCGCCTCTAGAGGCCCGAGGGGGTTTAGGGTTTAGGGTTTAGGGTTTAGGGTTTACCAGCAAGCTGTGTGAAAACTTGGCACGAGGGTTGTGGGGCTTAGGATATGCAACGGTTAAGGGAAGGTTTCGAGTTTTAGGGATTCAGGGGTTGGGCTTTAGTGCTCGTATGAGCTGTTTCAAGTAAATTGGGCTGTACTTTTAGAGTATGAGGACGAGGGAAGAAGGGGTTGTTCAGTTTCTGGTGGGCGAGAGGATGGTCTATCTTTCTGGACCATGGTACCTAGGCCTGTAGCTGAATGGTACCCTTTTTTGCCCTTTTGGGTTTATAAGGGTTCCCTTATCAACATAACGAGCACGAAAAAAGGGGAACCTTCACTACCAGATGCTTGCTGGGCTACCAAGTAGGGCACCCGGCCCCTACCGAAAACAAGAAGCAAGCCTTGCACTGCTCAGAAGGCGAGCAACGTAGCTGTACTGGCTGTAACGAGGGTTTCGGGGGGTTTTCAGGCTTTGACTAGGCTTTACGGTTGGAAACAGCCCCATCATTTCATACCGACAAGACACGAAGCACTAAACCCCCTTGTCCCCTCGCCCTAAGCAATCATAAATCCCAGTGCCCAAGCCCCTAGAATGCAGCCTGTGGCAAACTCCCTGAAACTTTCCGGGTTTAGGGTCTAGGGTTTAGGGTTTAGGGTTTAGGGTTCAGACTGGGCCAAAAGCGGAGTGTCGAGCTCGGACTCTAAGAGGTTCGGGGAGGTTCCACGGTGATGTGCAGATTCGAAACCAAACAAAGAGCCCCCCAAGTGAAGGGGGGTTTTAGGGGTCCCTAAACCCTAACTCCCCCCAATAAGATATGTAACCCCAAACCCCTAAACCCTAAACCCTAAACCCTAAACCCTAAACCCTAAACCCTAAACCCTAAACCCTTGGGCAAAGCACAAGAATTGGTGGGCAAGGGCACAAAAATTCGTGGGCAATGCCCGTTTTGCCCACGGTTTTGTTTGTGCCTTTAAGGCGCGCAGTGAAGGGCCTTGGAGTCCAAGCTTTATGGTGGTTTGGGGTTTAGGGTTTAGGGTTTAGGGTTTAGGGTTTAGGGCTTAGGGTTTAGGGTTTAGGGTTTAGGGTTTAGGGTTTAGGGTTTAGGGTGGGTTGAGTGAACTCTTTATGTTTTCTTATTGTTATGGACATCTTTGGACGGTTGGACATTGTCCTTTCGCTTGAAACGCTGCTTGGCTAGTGAAAGCTAGAACCCTAAACCCGAAACCCGAAACCCGAAACCCGAAACCCGAAACCTACCCTTGCCTGCCCCACCCCTGCCCTCCCGGCCTCTGTTCCGATGTCAGCCCTCTGCAGGCAGTACAGGATAAAGGGGAGGAAAGCAAAGTCCACAAGGCTGCTCCCAGACTCGGGTAGGGTTTAGGGTTTAGGGTTTAGGGTTTAGGGTTTAGGGTTTAGGGTTTAGGGTTTAGGGTTTGGGGTGTGGGGTTTGGGGTTTAGGGTTTAGGGTTTAGGGTTTAGGGACTCGGGTCTATATAGGGTTTGGTGTTTAGGGTTTCGAGGCTTTCGAGGGTTTTGAGGGTTTCGAGGGTTTCGAGGGTTTCGAGGGTTTCTAGGGTTTCTAGGGTTTCTGGTGTTTCTGGGGTTTCTAGGGTTCCAGGGTTTCTAGGGTGGGTTCAGGGTTTAGGTGTGAAGGTTGAGGCTTTTCTGGGCGAGAATCTGGCAGAGCAGAGTTGTTTGTTTTTTGCGGGGGCATGGTGGCCCTTGAGGACTACGGAATTACAAACAGGAGCCACAGGCCCTCAACAGCCGGACGAAGAGTCCTTAATAGGGACTATAATGGGGGGTACTATAGTCCCTATTAAGGACCCCTTAACCCTGAGCCCTGAACCCTAAACCATAAGCCCCAAACCCCAAACCCCAAACCCCAAACCCTAAACCCTAAACCCTAAACCCTAAACCCTAAACCCTAAACCCTAAACCCTAAACCCTAAACCCTAAACCCTAAACCCAAGCAAGACCATCCCACAGTGCAGGGCTGAGAGCCCATATGAGCATTCGGGCCTTCTGCCTCACGGATGCACGCCCAGGGTTGATGTTCTTCTTGGGAGCTTCCAGTGCTACCCTTTGGCCCTTTCTTTGTGGGTTTAGGGTTCAGGTTTAGGGTTTAGGGTTTAGGGTTTAGGGTTTAGGGTTTAGGGTTTAGGGTTTAGGGTTTAGGGTTTAGGGTTTAGGGTTTAGGGTTTAGGGTTTAGGGTTTAGGGTTTAGGGTTTAGGGTTTAGGGTTTAGTGACGTTTAGTGTTCTTATCCAGCGTGGCCAACCCGAAATGTTGAAAAACGGTACCCGTATACTGGGCTGCCAAGTCTTTGCGCATTTCAAAGTCCTAGGCTCCCCCCAAAGCCACGAATAAATGCTACTGTTTACGCCCCGAACGCAGCTTCGGATCATGTCCATGCTGGTTGGGGCGTGGGCCCAAACCTCGGGCCCTTAAGGCCCTGAGCTGCTCCTCTCAAAGAACTCAAGGGGACGAGCAGAATGCAGAACAGCCCCACATTCATTTGAATCCCCCCAAATCCTGCGGTGGCTGCGGCCCAGTACCTTGTACCTGATTCAACCCTAAATCCTAAACCCTAATCCCTAAACCCCCCCCAAGATGCAGGCCAAGGGCGGGCTAGCGTCTCCTGGAGGCGCTTTGGTGTCAGGTTTGTTGTTTTTGGGTTTAGGATGTTTTTTTTTTGTTTTTGTTTTTTTTTTTTTTTTTTTGGGGGGGGGGGGTGTTTGGCGTTTTGGTGTTTTTTGGAAGTTTTTTGTTGGGTTTGGCTTTATTTTATTATTGTTTTTTTTTTTTTTTGGGGGGGGGGGGGGGGGGGTGGGGGTGGCTAGGAGCTTAGGGATGAGGCTTGTCAGGGCTAAGAGGCATACAGTTACAGGGAGGCACATTGCCTTGGGCTGGACCTAGGGTGTTTTGGGCTTCAGGGATTGTGGGTCATCTGGCTTACTTCTGGGGGCTTGTATAAGAGTTTATCGGCCTTTTACAGAAGTTGGAAGGTTAGCCTGCAAGGGAACTACCAAGACTTGAAACCCTTACATACATATATATATATATAGATTATATAAATCAAGACATACATGCATATTTGTATATATATATATATCTCTCTCTCTCTCTCTCTGTGTCCCTCTGTCTCTCTCTGAACACAGAAAGCCTACTTAAGGGCATAGCGTGCTAAGTTTAGTATTCAACTTAAAGTGTGGCGACAAGCCCCTGGCAAACCCTAAACCCTAAACCCTAAACCCTAAACCCTAAACCCTAAACCCTAAACCCTGAACCCTGAACCCTGAACCCTGAACCCTGAACCCTGAACCCTGAACCCTGAACCCTGAACCCTGAACCCTGAACCCTAAGCCTCAATTTGTGGCTGGTTTGGGCGCGTGGCTCCCGGCAGTCCTTTCTTTGTTTGTGGTCCTTCTTTCCTCTGAAGTTTTCTTGTCAGCGGCCTTCGGAACCCTGAACCCTAAACCCTCTACCCCTAAACCCTAAACCCTCTACCCCTAAAACCCTAAACCCTAAACACTACACCCTACACCCTAAACCCTAAAGCCTAAACCCGAAACCCTTAACCAAAGCTCTTGGGGGGTCAGGCGTAGGGGTTTAGGGGTCAGGGTTTAGGGTTTAGGGGTTTAGGGGTTTAGGGGTTTAGGCGTTTAGGGGTTTAGGGGTTTAGGGGTTTAGGGGTTTAGGGTTTAGGGTTTAGGGCAGGCACCCAGGGAACCTTAGGGAAGCATAGGGAGCCTTACGGAGTAGCGGCGTGCATGAGGGAACCTTGGGTTACATACCCCCTTGATCACCCCTCTCTTAAGGACCCGTATAATGATAGGATGAAAGAGGTGCTCGTAGGCGCTTTTTGGGTGCTTGTAGGGTTTTGGGGTGCCTGTTGGGGTTTGGGGGTGGTTAGGGTTCATTGTTCAGGGTTCAGGGTTCAGGGTTTAGGGTTTAGGGTTTAGGGTTCAGGGTTTAGGGTTCGGGGTTCAGGGCTCAGGGTTTCGGTTATACTGTGCCTGGGCATGATCAACTATTGGGGGAAGGGGTTCCCACCTAAGGTGCGTGAGACTTGCTCCTCTGCTTTTTCTGGGCGGGGCAGAAGAGCCATGGGGCCCCCAAACGTAGGGCTTAGGGTTAGGGTTTAGGGTTTAGGGTTTAGGGTTTAGGGTTTAGGGTTTAGGGTTTAGGGTTTAGGGTTTAGGGTTTAGGGTTTAGGGTTTAGGGTGCAGGGTTTAGGGTTTAGGGTTTAGGGTTCAGGGTTTAGGGTTTAGGGTTTAGGGTTTAGGGT